TTTGATGTTGAGTACCTCAGAGTCTTGGACTTTGTCCTACCATTTGATTTGAGTACCTCAGAGTCTTGGACTTTGTCCTACCATTTGATTTAAGTACCTCAGAGTCTTGGACTTTGTCCTACCATTTGATTTGAGTACCTCAGAGTCTTGGACTTTGTCCTACCATTTGATGCTGAGTACCTCAGAGTCTTGGACTTTGTCCTACTATTTGAGGTTGAGTACCCCAGAGTCTTGGACTTTGTTATACCATTTGATTTGAGTTCCTCAGAGTCTTGAACTTTGTCCTACCATTTGATGTTGAGTACCCCAGAGTCTTGGACTTTGTCCTACCATTTGATGTTGAGTACCTTAGAGTCTTGGACTTTGTCTACTATTTGATGTTGAGTACCCCAGAGTCTTGGACTTTGTCCTATCATTTGATGTTGAGTACCCCAGAGTCTTGTACTTTGTCCTACCATTTGATGCTGAGTACCCCAGAGTCTTGGACTTTGACCTATCATTCGATGTTGAGCACCTCAGAGTCTGGGATCTTGTCCTAGTATTTGATGTTGAGTACCTCAGAATCTGGGATCTTGTCCTACCACTTGATGTTGAGGATTTTTTGAGAGGCTCATTATGTAAAAGTGGTTCAGTTCTCTTTTATGACATTGATAGACTGTCCATATTTCAGATGTTAATAGTAGTAAAGGGTACGGAATATATGATTCCCCCCACCCTAGTAATATTTGTGGCGTGGGGGGCTGTGGCGTAGCTAGGGTTAATACCGCCCTGGACTGGCCAAGCATTTCACGACCCCCTTCCACGACAAAAAATCTCAGCAGTTAACCGAAAGTGTCACCCCTCCATTTAAATAACACAAATGCCACCCTCTACACATTCCCCCTTTTCCTACGCCTCTGGGTGGATTTTGATTCGGATCTCTATTTTCTTCCTATAAACTGGAGCCTTGAAGAGTTTTCTGAAAACCACTTTGGAAGAGAAAATAATTCCGAGCCGTTCCGGCTATGGTCCCAGTGAAGGCATTGACCGCATAACTCATTGTGGGGAGAATCGGCATGATAAGATGATGTCCCATGTATATGAGATTTCCATTAATTATTACGCGGGATGTCAGTCAGTGATCACGTGCCTATTGATCGCCTACTAGGCCCAGGCCTGCAATTGGGAAGACGCCGATTTTACCCCGCAATTAAAACACTGGGATTTATCTTACGCTTCCAACCGCCCGAGTGTAAAAAAAAAAAAAATTGAAAGGAAAAAACCAACCGGAAATCAATGAATCGCCATTTTTTTTTTAACTTCATTTGGTGGATACTATATCGAGATGCTCTTGCATGATCTCATTCCAAAATACATCTGTTAGCCTTGGATGGCCGATGAAGCGGGTGAATTTTATGTTTGGGGAGGAGGGGGGTGTACGGTGGACAAAACGTGTTGGGTTACTGAAAATGTCCAGGTTTTTATACACCAATCCATTAGTCGGCCCGCTGTCTGTTTACGAAATAATAATTTTGACACTTGCATTTCTTAGTGTGTTTGTTTGTTTGTTTTTTTTTTTTTTGCGTTTGTAGTTTGTTGACAAAACTGTTCAAATAAGTTGTCGACACATTGGTTGTTACATTACACATTCGTCCACACATTCTTATTTACATTAAATTTTTTGATTCGCGCACACGCTGATTGTTACATTGCTACATTTCTTCAGGCAACGAATTGTTGTTGTGTTTTTTTGTTTTTTTTTTAAAGTTTGAATGGCAGCAAAATTGAGGGTTTTTTTTAAAGCTACTGACGTCACCAGCGAGACGCGTATATGAAAACACCGAGTTCCCGATTGTTTTTATTCAATCGTTATAGTCGAAGGCGAGGCAGAGGAGATGTTTGAGAAGCATTCTTGGAATCTGCTTGAGAGACCACATCTCTAACGAACAAGTGAAAGAAAGGATTCGTCAAGCCATTGGGCAGTAGGATGACCAACTGGTGACTGTAAAAAAAAAAAAAACGCAAACTGGAATGGTATGACCACGTGACAAGGAAACAAGGGCTCGCCAAAGAAATCTTGCAGGGCACCACGACGAGAGGAGGGAGAAGAAGAGGAAGACAGAGAAAAAAGATGGGAAGATAACATCAAAGAGTGGACGGGACTAAAACTAGGCGATGCTGTGCGAAATGCAGACAACAGAGAGGAAATGGAGAAGCATAGTTTTCATGTCATCTGTGGCGCCCCAACGGCCCAATGACTAAGGGACATGATGATGATGATGGATGAATCAAAGTGTTATTTATCAAGATATGTTCACTTTATTTCTGCACAAATGTTCACATATCTAATGTCTATATCCGGTGCACTTTTACACCTATCCAATAAACATGTTTACCGTGAGGCGCGCGGGTTTGCCTGATAGGATCTAAAAGGCTTCGTCACCCTGGGTCGCCCGCCCTCCCCTACCCCGTCACCCCCACCCCACCTGCCTGCTCCCTGGTGTTATGTCATTGAATGTTCTCACATTACCTTGCTTGGACTCATTGACTTAACAGGGCTTAAAGGGGGTCAAAGAATGTCATTTATGATGCGTATATTTTTTTTTTTAAATCAAAATTATAGTTTTAAAAACTTTAATGAAAAATATTTTTCTATTAAAATCAGTATAGAAAAATTTTAACTGAAGCAATGTCGTAAATTGTCTTGATTATTTTTTTTTTAAAATCAATATATTTTTTTTTTTTAAATATATACTATTTTTTTTTTCCATTTTGCACTAGAAGTAAATATAGAAAGTTAAAATTTAATCTGTATTAAAAAATTCGACGAATCGCTCTATTCAGCTTATCTTGCTATACCATGGCAGTCACAACTAGGCAGGACTTCCCACACATTTGGCTCGTATAACGGTCCAAGATTTACAGAGTGTGACAAGTTCAAAATCGCCAAGTCATGCCTGCAGACCCAGAATAGTATTTCAAGGGATACTACTCTCATAGCCTTTAAATACTATGCAAAGAACAAAATCGCATACCCTCCCTTTGTTGGCCTTTCACCGTGAAATGCATCATCCCACCCACCCATACTTCTGCCCTCTCTAGCGTTGACCAGAATAGTAGAATAAAATTGTATTTTTAGAAACTTGAACAACAAATTCATTCTCTATAATGTCATTTTTTCAACAACATGTGTTATTATTTTTCACTGGTGAAAAGAGGAAGTCCGGTGGAAGAGGACATCGGATGTAATCGGGAGGCGCCGGGGGTGGGGGGTGGTATCCGAAAACGTGAAGATGTTAGGGCACGGTGGAGGGAAGGGCTCCGGTGGAGGGAAGGGCTCCGGTGGAGGGAAGGGCTCCGGTGGACAATCAGGGTTTTTGCCCAAAATGTTTTTTTTTTGGTCATAAATGAACTTTTGCCATATATGAACTTTTATCATTTATGAACTTTTGCCATAATTGAACTAGTTTCATAAAAGAATTGTTTTTCCTTCAATGAACTTTAGCCATTTATGAACTTTTGCCACATATGAAGTTTTGCCATAAATGAACTTTTGCCACATATGAAATTTTGTCTTTGTGAACTTTTGCCATAAATGAACTTTTGCCATATATGAACTTTTGCGGGTCTATAGTAGGTTAATAATGAACAAAAAGCCAGATGATTTAAACAGCTGGATCAAAGGTCGAGAAGCTGTTTGTTTTAGCTATTAACCCCAAATAAATTTGTTTACGTCGACAATGACTCCAGCATTTCAAATTCATAAAATCAAAGACTATTTCAATTCATAATTCAACTTTATTGAATCTATTTATACGGAGAGTACAATGGTAAGGCTATAAAATAAATGTCATAAAAACAAATTAATAAAAACCTTGAAGATGCTTAAGAATATGATTTAAAAAAATTGGCGACTAAATGACGTATACAGGACACGACGGGCAGCTTTGCTAGTTTCATTAGAGTGTTGTACCACCCTTCTCCAAAAAAAAAATTTCTTTGCGTGACGCGTTTAATAAATGTTAAATATGTCGCTCTAATATCTCCACGATTTACAATTTTTTTATCCACTTGAGATAAGTTGACCCCGGTTAGTCGACCCCTGTACTAGAGATTACCGAGTGGAAGTGTAACATTGACCTATAATTAAGGCTAAGACTCCGCCATAGTATACAATCACGTACAGCAGTGAATTCAATTTTTTTAGAAATCTCCCTTACCAGTGGCGTAGCGAGGGTGTTTGGCGCCCATTTTTAGCGCCTCTTTTTCTTATTTTCAACTCTCAAACCCATTATTTTCGTCAATAAAATAATATCAAAGCACATTTGGGCGCCCCTTACTAGCTGGCGCCCGGGGAAATCTGTCCCCCCTGCCCCCACCACGCTACGCCTCTGTCCCGTACTGAGTACAATAATGTTGTCCGCCCCGCTCAAGAAAGGTAATACAGCATAACTCCCTTTTTTTACAAATATTTTTACTTCTTAACTTCCTGAACTCATTCGTTTGAAGTTAAAAAAAAAAAAAAAAAAAAAAAGACATATTATTGTATCAATTTTTAAAAACACTTTATCCTTTTATTTTGAAATGTACTGTAATCAATTTCTGGTTTTAATAATAATTCTCGATTGGATCTTTTTTGTCCGCCCCGCTCTCATTGCGAATCGCGATGCGCTCTTATTCGCTGCTTCCCTGCTTTCTTGATTTCGTAAACACCAAATGTAAACAAAAGAACCCCTTCGTCACACGCCGCGCTGTGTGCCGCCTTGCGGTTGCTTTACTAAGCACTGGCGGATGTATGGAGCGCCATCTGGAACTTTTATTATAGACGATGCACCTTGTACCGTGTTTTTACACGCGCTTCTCGGCCATCCTGAGAACCACAATGAGTTTTACGTTTTGATCTTTTTTTCTCTTACGATGTGATATGACCACAGGGCAGAGGTGGTTCAGATTGCAGGATTTATGGTAAATCATCGTGTCGGGTATTAATGGATAACGACTCTTTTAATTCTCATAAAATCTGACGCACCCCCCCCCCCCTTTTCCAGGTTGTTCCATCGGGACAATATACGTAACACGGCGAGTCGGTTCCAACGCTGCACTCTTCGGCTTTTGGATTAATTCTTGTAATCTATTATAAAGGCTTGTCTTGAAATGCTTGATTTTAATTTACACCTAGTCCATTGTCTTTATTTCAGCTTTTTGTCTCAGATCCCCTGTTCTTGTGTTGTTAGCTTTGTTTGGCTGTGTACATAGATGTGGGCTAAGAAGTGGGCATAGAAGTGGGCATAGATGTGGGCATAGAAGTGGGCATAGATGTGGGCATAGATGTGGGCATAGATGTGGGCATAGATGTCGGCGCTTTTTTAATGTGGGAAAAAATGTTTATAATCTCTTTTAGTGTGTGGTAGCCAAACTTACAAGCCATTACATAATCTTATAAATCCTAACACAATCTTACAAGCCAGTACACAATCTTACAAGCCAGTTCAAAATTTTATAAACCATTACACAATATTACAAGCCAGTACACAACTTTATAAGCCATCAAACAACCTTACAAGCCAGTACACAATCTTATAAATCATAACACAATCTTACAAGCCAGTACACAATCTTATAAATCATAACATAATCTTACAAGCCAGTACACAATCTTACAAGCCAGTAAACAGTCTTACACATGATGCCCAATATTCTTGCCATGATAGCTGCCCGTTCGAGCGCCGCTGATACATCTGGCGTTTCCGGTTTGACCACTGCCATCGCGAGCTTGACCACAGCTTGTCCTATATGGCAACGTCTTGTATCTGCTGCTGGGCGTCTCCCGCTGCTGCTGTGTCCCTGCTCCGGATAATGTGTAATGGTTCAATGTCCGCGTCTTGATGTCCTTTTCGCTCGGCTCTCGGTGCCTTGGGGATGGCGCCCTCTTCTTCGTCCTAGAACCGCTGGGCTTTGGGTTCTGGCGCCTGGCCTTGGGGACGGGTTTAGACTGGGGCGTGGGCTCAGTGAAGGGGAGTGGGGGCGGAGGGGGCGGTGGTAGATACTGGTTCTGGTTCAGGTATTGATGGTCGTTAGACCGCATCTGTTCCACCGCGCCCGGATGGGGTTTGCTGTGTTGGTGTAGCGTTGCGCGGGGGTAGTGAGCGGCGTTGCGGACTATGGCATTTCTGAGTATTTGAGAACCGGTGTCGTCACCCGCGTGCGGTGAAGAACACATGGCCAGTGAGTAGTCCCCAGATATCGGCCGCAACAGCTCAAGGGGTGGGGGCGGCGGCATGTCGTCGAAGCTGATCTCCTCGTAATGCCTGTAATTAACATCGGACGTACTGTCACGTGACGACGGCACGGAGTTATACCTCGACTTCCTGTGACAGCACAAAATGACCGACTGGACTCTGTCCCCACGGCCACGATGCTTTCCAGCGCCGAATGACCTCGACCCCGGATGCGTCTCGCACGAATCGGCTGAACACGGTTCGCTCCCGCCCGAGTAGACCACCATGTGAGTTTCTGGACACCGACGACGTGATGGGACGACGCTTGAAAAACTGCCTGCCCATGAAGAGACAGGACCCATCACCTTGAGGATGGTTCCGAGGAGGGAGACGATAATCCCACAGCCCGTCAGGGCGAAGCCGCCCAGCAGAACAGGGTACCGGTCACGTGACATCACGGTCTTATACCCGTACAGTCCGATGGAGGCAGCGGCGACGATTTCTGTAGACAGATGGAACACATGATTAAGGCGCTTCCGTGGGGGGAGAGTATGACAGTTCAGACAGCACTGGGGTAAAGCATGTCAGTTCCTACAGCAATGGGAGAAAGTATGTCAGTGCAAACAGCACTGGGGTAAAGCATGTCAGTTCCTACAGCAATGGGAGAAAGTATGTCAGTGCAAACAGCAATGGGGGAAAGTATGTCAGTGCAAACAGCAATGGGGGAAAGTATGTCAGTGCAAACAGCAATGGGGTAAAGCATGTCAGTTCATACAGCAATGGGAGAAAGTATGTCAGTGCAAACAGCAATGGGGGAAAATATAACAGTCCATACAACATAGGCACCATGTAGAGATGCATCCATGTTTAGACCTAACCCAAAACTGGCAAACTGTCCGAAACATTACGGACAATCCCTAAATAGGTGTCCTAATATTATTTCCGAAAAAATCCGAAAGAAATTTTGGATGTCTGTAAGAAAAAAAAAGACACTTTTATAGAAAAAATCTTTTGAAGCGAAAAAAAAGTGTTAAATCTCAGAGTTTGACATAATTTACTTGGTTGCTTTTAAACTTGAATGATCGTGTTGAACTAATTGAAGGATGAGAGTGTAACACAGAGAATAACACTCTCAATTTAACTAACGTCATAAAATAGGCTAATGTCCTACAGTCGTATAAGGTAGAATCATATAAACTTAGCCATGGAGTCATAGGGACCTAGCCATAGAGTCATAGGGACTTCGCCATAGAGTCATAGGGACTTCGCCATGGATTCATAGAGACTTAACCATAAAGTCATAGGGACTTAGCCTTAGAGTCATAAGGACTTAGCCTTAGAGTCATAAAGACTTAGCCATAGAGACTTGGTCATAGAGACTTAGCCATAGAGTCATAGAGACTTATCCATAGAGTCATAGGGCCTTAGCCATGAAGTCATAGAGTCTTAGCCATAGAATCATAAAGACTTAGCCATAGAGACTTAATCATATTGACTTATCCATAGAGTCATAGAGACTTAGCCATGAAGTCATAGAGACTTAGCCATAGAATCATAAAGACTTAGCCATATAGACTTAATCATATTGACTTATCCATAGAGTCATAGAGACTTAGCCATGAAGTCATAGAGACTTAGCCATAGAATCATAGGGCCTTAGCCAGAGAGTCATAGAGACTTAGCCATAGAGTCATAGAGACTTAGCCATAGAGTCATAGGGCCTTAGCCATGGAGTCATAGGGACTTAGCCATAGAGTCATAGGGCCTTAGCCATGGAGTCATAGGGCCTTAGCCAGAGAGTCATAGAGACTTAGCCATAGAGTCATAGGGACTTAGCCATAGAGTCATAGGGCCTTAGCCATGGAGTCATAGGGACTTAGCCATAGAGTCATAGGGCCTTAGCCATGGAGTCATAGGGACTTAGCCATAGAGTCATAGGGCCTTAGCCATGGAGTCATAGGGACTTAGCCATAGAGTCATAGGGACTTAGCCATAGAGTCATAATCGTGCGGTTATTTGAATTTTACAAATGTTAGCTTCACAACTCCCAATGTTTGTTTTTTAAATTGTTGTCAGTGAAAAATTGTGGCTGTCGTGTCATTGTGTCGTGACAAATGCCGACACATGACCCCTGTGACAGGCATGGCGGCGTGTCGTGTATGTGTGTCATGTCTCACCGACACCTCAACTCAGGGACCAGCTGTGACACAGGGAGAGTCGGTTGGTGATGTCTGTGTGACGTTTATATGTGTGTCGTCTATGCGTTACGTGTACGTCTGTGTCATGTACGTGTGTCCCGTCTGTGTCTGGTGTTAGGTACCGACCCCCTTACCTCCTAGACCGGCTGTGACATAGTTGAATCGCTGTGCAGTGTCTGTGCGTGTGTCGCTGATGTATGTGTGTGTCATGCATGTGTGTGTCTTGTATGTGTGTCCCGTTTGTGTCTTGTGTTAGGTACCGACCCCTTTACCTCCTAGACCAGCTGTGACATAGTTGAATCGCTGTGCAGTGTCTGTGCGTGTGTCGCTGATGTATGTGTGTGTCATGCATGTGTGTGTCTTGTATGTGTGTCCCGTTTGTGTCTTGTGTTAGGTACCGACCCCTTTACCTCCTAGACCAGCTGTGACATAGTTGAATCGCTGTGCAGTGTCTGTGCGTGTGTCGCTGATGTATGTGTGTGTCATGCATGTGTGTGTCTTGTATGTGTGTCCCGTTTGTGTCTTGTGTTAGGTACCGACCCCTTTACCTCCTAGACCAGCTGTGACATAGTTGAATCGCTGTGCAGTGTCTGTGCGTGTGTCGCTGATGTATGTGTGTGTCATGCATGTGTGTGTCTTGTATGTGTGTCCCGTTTGTGTCTTGTGTTAGGTACCGACCCCTTTACCTCCTAGACCAGCTGTGACATAGTTGAATCGCTGTGCAGTGTCTGTGCGTGTGTCGCTGATGTATGTGTGTGTCATGCATGTGTGTGTCTTGTATGTGTGTCCCGTTTGTGTCTTGTGTTAGGTACCGACCCCTTTACCTCCTAGACCAACTGTGACATAGTTGAATCGCTGTGCAGTNTATATATATATATATATATATATATATATATATATATATATATATATATATATATATATATTTATATGACAAATGACAGAGGAGTGAAGAGGTTTCTCCACCAAAACCCCAAGAGGAAAACGGCTCAAAAGAGACTTAGGCTTAGATGGATTGGATGGCGTGGGAAAAAAAAAAGATCTACAACAGCTGGGAATCCAAGCATGGAAAAGAAAAGCACTAGTTAGGTCTGAGTGGAAGGAAGTGGTGAGGCAGGCGAAAGTCCTACATGGGCTGCAGTAGCGTCACAACAGGGTTGGATGGATATGTATATATTGATGATTGTTACGGAAAGGTCATGGTGGGTGTAACCATTGCTACATGCGGATTGTGTAAAAACGTTAAAAGTACACACGAAAAGACCATTACGAATAGACCATTACGAAAAGACCACTACGAAAAGATGATCACGAAAAGACCGTTACGAAAAGACCATTACGAAAAGACCATTACAAACAGAACATTACGAAAAGACCATTACGAAAATACCATTACCATAAGACCATTACGAAAAGACCATTACAAAAAGACCATTATGAAAAGACCATTATGAAAGACCATTACGAAAAGACCATTACGAAAAGACCATTACGAAAAGACCATTACGAAAAGACCATTACAAAAAGACCATTATGAAAAGACCATTATGAAAGACCATTACGAAAAGACTATTACGAAAAGACCATTACGAAAAGACCATTACGAAAAGACCATCACAAAAAGACCACTACGAAAAGACCATTACGAAAAGACCATTACGAAAAGACCATTACGAAAAGACCATTACGAAAAGACCATTACGAAAAGACCATTACGAAAAGACCATTACGAAAAGACCATCACAAAAAGACCATTACGAAAAGACCATTACGAAAAGACCATCACAAAAAGACCATTACGAAAAGACCATTACGAAAAGACCATTACGAAAAGACCATTACGAAAAGACCATTACGAAAAGACCATTACGAAAAGACCATCACAAAAAGACCATTACGAAAAGACCATTACGAAAAGACAGTCACAAAAAGACCATTACGAAAAGACCATCACAAAAAGACCATTAAGAAAAGACCATTACATTGTTATAGGCATGAGATATGGGCTTTAAAGGCGACTTTCTAACTGTGCACAGAGCAGAGCACAAACAATAATTAACATTAACAACAATATATTATAACATTAATATAATATTTTATTTTTTAAATTATTTATTTTGTTGAAATGATACCTTTGGTATTGTGGGGCTGTTGTGATGTTGTGTTGTTTTTTTTTGTTGTTTTTTTTGGTTGTGTACAGGGTGGCATTATTATGAGTACGAACAAAAATATATAATTAAATAACCACTAAAAACAAAGTTTTGGTTCCCCCCCCCTCTCCCCAAGGCTTTTAAACGCACATTTTTTTCCCCACGTCCCTGAACTATATTAATATTCTAATGACCCAACCCGCTTTTACACCGCAGATTTAGTTCACCAAATATTTCGTAAACGTAACAGAAAATATGAGTTTGCTTAAGTTGTTTTGCTTTGTTGTTTTTTTGTTTTTTTTTTAATGTTTTTTTTTTTTGTGTAAGAATTTTATTTAGCGCAGTTATCGGGAATTTTATTTCGTGAAATCAGTGTCGTCATATTTGTTTCATCTTCACCTTGAAAAAACCTTGAAAAAATAGGATAAACTTTGGGGTAGGGTGGGGGGGGGGGCTGGGATGAACGTTTTAGAGAATGTGTTCTTATCGGCGACGAGTATATGTGCCAAAGTTTCAGCTCGGTACGTTGACGGGAAGTGGGTCAATTAACCGTCCGAAGATTTTGCCCTAAACACTCAAAAGTGAAGTTATCATAAAGGATTTCAACAACAAACAAAAAAATCCACAAACCTGTGAAATGATAGAAAAATTAAAGAGGAATCGACTTACTGTTGAACTCGGTGACGTAATGCGTGCATATGTCATCATCGCACCTGACCCAAAGTCCGTACACATAGCCGACTTCCCGTCGCCATTCATGTGACGTCACGCCCAGCCACAAGATGACGTAGCCGAGGACCAGAAGCAGGCAGGACACCCTGGACGTCTGGTCGGTCTTGGCCGTCATGACGTCATGTAGCATGAAAATTGAGCCACCATCAAAAAGTCTTCTCTCGATTCGAAAACAGTCCAGATCTTGATACCGTCCGGATGTTGATACAGTCGGATGTTGAAAAGTCAGATGTTGAAATAGACAGCTCTATCACGTGTAACCGTTGCTCGCTATAAAAAAATTAATCTGAAGGCTGTCTGCGGAGTGATTCATCAAATGAATACTTACAACTGCATTCTGGGAAATATTTTTTTTTTGGTTGGTGTGTTCCGGTGATATATACCAGTGACATTTGGCGCCAAATTAAATACCGCTACCAATCTATCCCAGCCGAGTGTGTGTGTCGAGGGGGTTTGTTGTGTGCGGGGCGACGGGGGTGGGGGTTACATTGTACTCTGAGTTTTGAACATACTTTCTCAAACACTGGGTACATGAGTATTTTATTATTTTTTTTATAACAAGAGGATGGGGAACTCGAGTTATAGAGATTTGATGCACACCATCCATTGGATGTGTGATTATATTAGAACGTCCACTGGCTGTGTGACTATACTACAACATCCACTGGGTATGTAACTGTGCTACAACATCCCCTGGATGCATGGGCGCCCGCAGGTAGGGGCAAGTTGGGGCACTTGCCCCCCCCTGGATTGATTGGATTAAAAAAAGTTAGAAAAAATAGACAAAAAATGTATTAAAGTAAAGAGAAAATAAAGAGAAAGTAATAAAGCTGATGTCCTGTCCGTTCGTTCACCATACAAATACGCTACAGTAAATTAAAATTACATTAAAACATTACTAAAAAATGTTTGGATAACAATAGTCTAACTTTAAAAACATGATACCAGGTTCCTGGATAGAAAAAATAACATCCACTGAGTGTGTGACTGTACTACAACATCCACTGGGTATGTGACTGTACTACAACATCCACTGGGTATGTGACTGTACTACAACATCCACTGGGTATGTGACTGTACTACAACATCCACTGAGTGTGTGACTGTACTACAACATCCACTGGGTATGTGACTGTACTACAACATCCACTGGGTATGTGACTGTACTACAACATCCACTGGGTATGTGACTGTACTACAACATCCACTGAGTGTGTGACTGTACTACAACATCCACTGGGTATGTGACTGTACTACAACATCCACTGGGTATGTGACTGTACTACAACATCCACTGGGTATGTGACTGTACTACAACATCCACTGGGTATGTGACTGTACTACAACATCCACTGGGTATGTGACTGTACTACAACATCCACTGGGTATGTGACTGTACTACAACATCCACTGGGTATGTGACTGTACTACAACATCCACTGGGTATGTGACTGTACTACAACATCCACTGGGTATGTGACTGTACTACAACATCCACTGGGTATGTGACTGTACTACAACATCCACTGGGTATGTGACTGTACTACAACATCCACTGGGTATGTGACTGTACTACAACATCCACTGACTGTGTGACTATAATAAAACCAATCTTTGCAAACTATAAAAAAATCAACATTCGGCTGACAACAGATTTGGCTGACAATGATACAACATACTTTGGCTGACTATAATAAACAGACTCTGGCTGACATTAATACAACAGACTTTAGCTGACTATACCAGAATAGATTTTTCGTGACTATAATACAACAGACTTTGGCTGACTGTAATACAACAGACTTTGGCTGACTTACAACAGACTTTGGCTGACTATAATACAACAGACTTTAGCTGACTATACCAGAATAGATTTTTCGTGACTATAATACAACAGACTTTGGCTGACTGTACCAGAATAGATTTTTCGTGACTATAATACAACAGACTTTGGCTGACTATACCAGAATAGATTTTTCGTGACTATAATACAACAGACTTTGGCTGACTATACCAGAATAGATTTTTCGTGACTATAATACAACAGACTTTGGCTGACTATAATACAACAGACTTTGGCTGACTTACAACATACTTTGGCTGAATATAATACAACAGACTTTGGCTGACTTACAACATACTTTGGCTGACTATAATACAACAGACTTTGGCTGACTTACAACATACTTTGGCTGACTATAATACAACAGACTTTGGCTGACTATAATACAACAGACTTTGGCTGACTTACAACATACTATGGCTGACTATAATACAGCACACTTTTGGCTGTCTATCATGCCCAACACATTGTCAGACAAGAGGTGGTTACTGTGAACAGGCCAATTGTTCCAGCAACGTATTTAATTAGAGCAATTAAATATGTAGGCTGGAAATAACCGGGCCTTACTGGCACTGCCACCATCGGATCCCATGCTGAAATTAACGCGTCTGTATGTTGATGAGATTAATCATGTTTTGAAGGGTACTGTAATAATTGTCCATGGTGACTTTGGAGCTCATTAGTTTCGTTAAGCCCCGGACTCGATGGAGTTTAGTGTTGGTAAGGCCTGGTCCAGGACTACTTGGTAGTTGATGGATTGGATATTTATATAGCGCTGGTATCCATGCTACCCTAGCATGCTCTCTGCACTCCGGTTTTATTTAAATATATTAAAACAGAAAAGTGTTTTTAAAATGTTTCTTACATGATCTTTTTATCATTTTCAATTCCCCTCAAAGATTGAGGCAAACTGTTCCATGATTTTTGCGCCATCGCTTCAAAAGAGCGCACTCTGTAAGACGTTTTTTCTGTGTTCATCCACGCTGGGAAGTTTCAGTAAGGACTGTGTTGAAGACCGCAGGTTCTTTAAGGAGAACATGTTTATCAATCAGTTCTTTAAGATATTTAGTGTTGGTTTATGTGTACGTTGGTTAGCTTACATTTTTATGAACGGAAGAGTAGGGCGTAGGGTAAGTCAATCCCCCTGGGGGGCACATTTTTTTGGGGGGTGGGGATTTTTTAGTCAGGGCCGATTTCGGTCCGCTTATGCATGTGATTCGTTCGGCTTTATTCCTTCAACGTCCAAAGTATGCATTTTTTGACTTTTCGCACGGTTAAGTGTGGGGGAAGTACCGCCCGTGACGTCACAAGCTCTAGCGACTCTAGAAATGACAACATTGGTTTGTGATGCGATGTGAAGGATGCCACTGCGGTAACTTCGGTTGGACGTATCTATCATAATAGTGGAGCTGGGCGTTCTTCTAGAATTCCTTCTTTTTTTTTGCGTTTGAATTTTCTAAAATTTTAGTGGTGGCTTTTTCAAAATGCAGCTAACTCCAGCAATATATATATATATATATATATATATAT